ATATATATATATATATATTGTACTCAGCACAGTTATATATATAGTGTACTCAGCACACTTCTCAGGAGCATGGAAATGATAACTACTGCAACTCCATAAATAATCAGAGGTGAAAAAGGGCCCAAAGCTTTCGATTTGATGTTTGAGAAGACTGATCGAGGCACGATGAGGGGAATTTTGAGTGTGTGTGAGAGAGCGTGTATTGGGGATGCAAGCATGGGTTGAGAATAATGAAAAGACAGAAAATAAATCCATTCCTTCATCAGGACAGAGGAGGCACTGTGGTGCTGGTGGGGAGGACATGCTGCAGACAAGAGATGGAGAAAGAAGCACAAGAAAACAAACAGGAAGGAAGAACAACAGGGATTTAGAAGGAAAAAAGGGCAGAGGATGAGGGGAAAGGGATGTGAATGGCAGAGCATGAAATCAGTGGCTTAGTGGCTTGTTAGTGTAATAAACTACTTTTGCCTTGAAGTGCGGTCTGAGAGGGTAATAACTTGAAATTCTGTAAGAAAAATCAATGGCAGCTGGTTAGTTTGGAGAGCAACTTGTCTTTGTGCACGTTTATAGCAGAATATATAATTAGATTTACAGAAAATTGAGCAGAACCAGAACAAAAACTGAGTTCCTGTGTCACTTTTAAGAAAATGAATGTCATAGTGACTCCTGTTTGAACATATGTTAACTATTTTACTGCTCATGGTATAGGTCAGATGAAGCATAAAAAATATATATGTATTGTATTTGTTATACATATAACACTGTTTTTGAATGAGATTTCTAATCTGAATTTCTCTCTTCTGATTCTCTATACAGGAGCTGATTTTAGACGCCACAGAAAGATCCATTCCTCTGCATGTTCCTTTTACCATAACTTGGAAGACCAGCGTCTGAATTTTGTTCCAGCGTGCCAGCGTACTGGTATTTTGTTCCTAAAAAAAAATCATGTTTACCTAAATAATGTACTCATGAAAAACACTGAATACCATCAGCTTTCATCTTGATATTGTTGTGCCTTAAATTTAACTTTAAAACACAAAATCATGTAACAAAAAAATAATAAAATATCTGACACCGTTCAAACAAGTGTATGGCTTTATTTGTTTCTTAAAAGTAAAATTATACAGGGACTAGAAGAACAACACCATAATTGGAGGGGTTTTTTTTTTTCATTTTTTTTTTCATCAGCCTTCTATGTATTTGGGGGAATGGTGGTGCAGAGGTTAGAGAAGATGAGCCTGTGATCGGAAAGTCGTAGGTTCAAACATATTGTTTACATATGTATATCAATGTAATGTTTCCAATTTATTTTGTCTGTACATTACTTTCTTTAATAGTACAGGAACTGTTGAAGATA